GTCAAACCACTCCACAAGCTGCAGGACGTTGGGGCAGGCAGGAGCTGAATTGACCCGGGTCATCAATGCCACCTCCAGCGGCAGCAGACCCTGACCTTCCTGCAGGGACAAAGGCTCCGTTATATCCAGGGCTGAACGAAACGGATGAAACAACAGATTCACACTGGAACTTACAACTTTCAGCCTCTCTTGGGTCCTGTCTTTAGAGACGTACTTGATGGCAACCTGTAGACGGATAAACCACAGTAAATCACACCTGCCTAATTGTGACAGATGACATTTACTGATATCAACATTTCTAAAGGCTGTCTGAACAAAGGAGGGAAGAAAATGTCTTACTGGCAGTCTGTCAGACCTGCGGATCCCAGCATACACAGAGCCGAATCCGCCTCGTCCCAGCAATGGGCCCTTCGCATATGCTTCTGTAACACATATGATCACAAGAAATGTCCTTAAGAGAACACATGTATCTAATGAAAAATCATTTAATAATTGAGCCATAACTTTTAAATGAAAAGCTTATTCTGACCTTTGCGAGAACGTTTAGCAGGTCTTTTAAACGAAGTGGATGGACGTCCATCATCTTGGCTCCTCTGGCTGCCGCTTTGCCTCTTCCTCTTCCTGTCAGCCTTACCTGTGGAAACAGAAAACACAGAAGACAGAGGTGCTAAATATCCAGGAAGCTCCCGGCTCAATGTCTGCGTCGGGTCTGGCAGCGGATCCTGATCGCCATCATCAGAACCGAGTCTCTCCTGACCAGCCGTCTGAGTGGAAGCGGCTCTGCTGGATCTGGAGCGGCCTGAGGATGGAATATTTCAGACATCAAAAAATGTTTTTTTATCAGTAATTAATGTCACCAGTCACATCAAATTATTACTTTATTATTTTCAACTTTTTATTTTCAATGACAAATCATTTAATTATTAACAGAGACGTAACTTTTTTTAATAAAAGCTTATTCTGACCTCTGCGAGAGCGTTTAGCAGGTCTTTTAAATGAAGTGGACGGACGTCCATCATCTTGGCTCCTCTGGCTGCCGCTTTGCCTCTTCCTCTTCCTGTCAGCCTTACCTGTGGAAACAGAAACAGAAAACACAGAAGACAGAGGTGCTAAATATCCAGGAAGCTCCTGGCTCAGTGTCTGCGTCGGGTCTGGCAGCGGATCCTGATCGCCATCATCAGAACCGAGTCTCTCCTGACCAGCCGTCTGAGTGGAAGCGGCTCTGCTGGATCTGGAGCGGCCTGAGGATGGAATATTTCAGACATCACATGGTAATGTTTTAATAATAATCAATATTTAATGCCAGTGGTCAATTAATAATTGTTACTAGTTCACGTTACTCAAATAGAAAAGTTTATTTCATATGCAAGGCATCGAATACATGTGATCACTTAGCTGGGAACATTTAGGGATCAAATTAGTTATCTCGCACAAGTTTCTTCACATTAAGTTAGTCAATCATTGTACCGGGTACAACATCATACCAAAACATACCAATAAAAAATTAAAGACTCACCTCCTCTTTCACCAATGTGAGCCATCGATATCCTCCTCCAACCTGCAATAAAAACAATACAAAAAAGAGAATACAAATCTCCCCAGAAATACTCCTCCTCCAAATAAAAAAATAAAAAAATAAAAAGAAAGTATAAAATTAAATAAAAAATGAAATAAAACTCGAAACTCCTTCTAAAATCAGAAAAGAACAATCAAATAAAAGTTTTGAATATTTTAAAATAAGATATGAACTCTTTCAAAAGTAAAACTGTGTGATGAAAATATTCTCCGATCTCTTTCTAAAGTCTCCTCTCAGCAATCCTCCGAACAGCTTCAAAATACTCTGTAAAAGTCTCTTAATTCGCCTCGTCCGTCAACCATCAGATGGCGATCAGTGAAATTGTTGATATATGCAGTCAGAATTCAAAAAACGCGTCGCTATAGCAACTAAAATCGAATCGCTCATTGGCACAACACGCACGTGAAGTCGCGTGCGTGAGTACAGCAGAGCACGTGAGCGCACATCGAGCTTAATCTTTGACGTTTTCTTTAATACTTGTGAGATTTATTCAAATTCTGAACATATATTATTATTATTATTATTATTACAATCCGTGGAATTATTCGTGTAAAATCTTCGTCAAGCTAATTGCAAAAGCGTCCACTTCCCAAAGCTAATTTTCACTCACAGTCTATGGAACCCAGTCATTGCTTCTGTCCAAAATGCGAGCAAAAAAGCTAAAGGGAGGATAAATTGGACGAGTGGCCACCCACTTGTACACCTCATACGGATACTTGTTGTAAAGATGTCTCTCTCAACAGGGAAAAAGTGGATATTTTTCATGAAGTTGGTTTGACGTTCATATTCGCGTATTTAGGGACCGTCTCTAAAGTTACATGCGACATTGGTATAAACGTCTCTAACTTTTGCATTTGAAGACAATGACTTACAGTCATAAAACCAACTGTAAATTGTTCATCTAGGTCTCAGGTATGATGCACATCTTTTATATTTTTTATATTTATGACAATAAACTGTTAAATCACGTGTAAATATTGCTATGTATTTCACTACTGTATGGGGTCATACACAAAATATGACATCATTTAAAGCTCAATAGCATTTGAAGACAATGACTTACAGTAATAAACCAACTGTAAAGTGTTCATAGGTGTCAAATATGATGCACACCTTTTAGATTTTTGATATATATGACAATAAACTGTTAAATCATGTGTAAATATTGCTATGTATTTCACTACTGTATGGGGTCATACACAAAATATGACATACTTTAAAGCTCAATAAAAAAAAATATGATACAAAATATCTTAATATATCAAACATGTTTATTTTTTTTTCTTCTTTTTTTTTTTCTGTCGGCTGCCAACCAAATAAACGCCTTTGACTCATTTTTGGTAATTGTAGGGAACTGTACAAATACCAATTACCAATCCACAATTATTTGCATGTGCAGCACTCCCAGTCAACCTTTTGAACTCTCTTGAACTCCTTTTCGTGACATAGAAAGGCATGCCACATGGAACCACCTCTTGCAGCAGTGACATTCGATCTGTTAAAAGATAATAATAACCTTATCAAATTGCTCAGTAATCAATTAGTTTATCACTCAATTCCAATTCGATTTTCCAATGTTTTGTGACCTAATCTAAAGTGAGAACAATTTACTCATAATTACCAATTAAAATTTCTTTACTACGAGCTGATTAAACAATAACAATTGTGTGTGTACAAACACTCCACAGCTGTGCCAGTCTCGTTGTTTGGAATGGTTCATTTGTCCTCCATTCCATTTTATGTCCACCCAGTCATTTTTACTGAGACAGATTCTTCTCATCTTGAAGTACTCTCTAGGCAGTGTAAATAAAGAAAATCATTAAGATTCTAAATGTAAACAATATTTGTGTTTGTTACTACTTTGTTGAGTCTAAATGTAGAGAAAGGTGACAAATCAGTTGCTGGTCTTCTACAGTGAGGGGTTTGTTTGATTGTTTCCCGCCTTGTAGGGTATTTTCCCGATCACATCCCCACTATTCTACCCTATATTGTCTTGTCAATTCTCTATGATCCCTACCCCAATAAAACAAAAATAGGCCATAAACCGAACAAAACAAAAATACAAATAAACAATAAAAACACATTCTTGTGGTTTATACTACTTTAAGTTTAATTGTTTTAACCATATTTACCGAATTTTATTACAAAATCCAAACAATAAATGTTGTGAATCTTTTTTATTAAAGAGACTCGTTATCAATTTAAATGAATGTGCTGCATTGTGCTCTCTCTGTTTCCTTTACAGGCCATATAATTTGTTTATTAGTAAGGCAACAATATGCATTATGCTTTAGTGCATTAAACACAAAATATGAGGGAAAAAGTGTTAAGCGAGTCAAAATGATTGACAGGATAACATTAAGCATTAAAACATTATGGCCTACTAAATTCCTATATATTTATATGGTAATTATTGTCTTTCTTATCTCACTTTACACTTAATGATTGTGAGATGCTTGCTATATACATTCAAAGTTAATAGGTACATTTGTTGTAAGTAAAAAATAATAATAACGTGTTTATAAAAACCTTATGAGAAGGCTAGTATACTTACACAATGTCAAAGACTCAAAAGCCTGTCATTTTATTCTTACAAACATAATTGAGGATCTTTGGTACATTTCTCGAATCATCCTCGAAATTTGCAAAACAGTAAGTGCAATTCTCAAAACAATTCGTACAAATAGCAAAATACCATGGATTACCTGCAAAAGCCAGTCTCTTGCTCAAAATCCTTAGTTCATCTCTCAAAGGTAAATATCTGTGTCAATGAACATGTCAGTGCCATCAGAGTGACAAGTCCTTGTGTCATTGTGTACGGATAAGACAGTCAAATTGCTTAGTCATGTTGTCAATATAACAGTGTACTCTGGAGGGATGTTCTGATGTAAACTATGGATAAAGTTTTGATGACAATTATTGTAAATTGTAGGTTACACCTTAGTGTATGAGGGAGTTTGGTTGCAACTTGCAAGAGACTGGACAAGATTCACATTTTGTGAAACCCGGGCTCCGGTTTCAGCTGCCGCTGTGTGTTCAGCTCCTCCCGCATCCACACAGAACGGAGCAGAGGATGTAAACTGTAGTTCACGGTCCACTTCTCTTTCTGTAGGTGATCAGGAAGATCTCTGCAGTTCCTGTGTCTCTCCAGCTCACCCTATACAAATGATCATAACTGTTTATCTACACTAATCCTAACAATACAATCCAAGCCATGTCTGCTGTGATTCAGATAAGTGTAATGTCACTGGCCACCTGTTCAGTGCAACCAAGGATGGCGCTCAATGTCGTCTAAACTGGGACGATCTCCTGCCGCGTCACTGAGACACCAGCTAATCAAATGACGGCACTCTGTTACACACAACACAGTCTTCAGGAACACAAAAGAACAAACTTATCCTGGGTTTCTGCTTCTGAATGTTTGCTATCTCTTGCCTATAGACAGTTCTCTAGGGAAGAGCAGTCGGCTTTTGAAGGAGACCCTCCGTGCGGCTCTGAAGGGAAAGCACAGGATGTTGTAGAGCGTCACCCCCACTGACCAAACAGTAGCCGGTCCTGCATGATAGGAGTGCTGATCAAACCACTCAGGAGGAGCGTATTCACGACTACCTGAGAGACCCAAGAAGACCAGAAACATACACTGAAAAGGTTCCAGTCCAAACAAATTCTCTTTGTTTGATCTTCAAAAGTTCAGTAAACATCCACAGAACGTTTCCTGCTGTAACGCAAAACTAACCTGCATAGTATGTGTAGGCCGAGTCCTTTAGCAGGTCTCCACAACCAAAGTCCAGCAGCTTGATGTCATGGGACGCTGTGGCAATCAGCAGGTTCTCTGGCTTGACGTCCCGGTGCAGGACTCCGCGGCTCTCGCAGTGTTTCAGAGCGGTGATCAGCTGAACCAGCACTTTCTTGGCCAAGCTCTCATCCACACAGCCGTTCTCCTCGCAGAAACTCTGCAGATCTTGGCAGGGAACTGGCCGTTCCAGGATCATGCTGTAGCGACTGCGACGGTCAAACCACTCCACAAGCTGCAGGACGTTGGGGCAGGCAGGAGCTGAATTGACCCGGGTCATCAATGCCACCTCCAGCGGCAGCAGACCCTGACCTTCCTGCAGGGACAAAGGCTCCGTTATATCCAGGGCTGAACGAAACGGATGAAACAACAGATTCACACTGGAACTTACAACTTTCAGCCTCTCTTGGGTCCTGTCTTTAGAGACGTACTTGATGGCAACCTGTAGACGGATAAACCACAGTAAATCACACCTGCCTAATTGTGACAGATGACATTTACTGATATCAACATTTCTAAAGGTTGTCTGAACAAAGGAGGGAAGAAAATGTCTTACTGGCAGTCTGTCAGACCTGCGGATCCCAGCATACACAGAGCCGAATCCGCCTCGTCCCAGCAATGGGCCCTTCGCATATGCTTCTGTAACACATATGATCACAAGAAATGTCCTTAAGAGAACACATGTATCTAATGAAAAATCATTTAATAATTGAGCCATAACTTTTAAATGAAAAGCTTATTCTGACCTTTGCGAGAGCGTTTAGCAGGTCTTTTAAACGAAGTGGATGGACGTCCATCATCTTGGCTCCTCTGGCAGCCGCTTTGCCTCTTCCTCTTCCTGTCAGCCTTACCTGTGGAAACAGAAAACACAGAAGACAGAGGTGCTAAATATCCAGGAAGCTCCTGGCTCAGTGTCTGCGTTGGGTCTGGCAGCGGATCCTGATCGCCATCATCAGAACCGAGTCTCTCCTGACCAGCCGTCTGAGTGGAAGCGGCTCTGCTGGATCTGGAGCGGCCTGAGGATGGAATATTTCAGACATCAAAAAATGTTTTTTTATCAGTAATTAATGTCACCAGTCACATCAAATTATTACTTTATTATTTTCAACTTTCTATTTTCAATGACAAATCATTTAATTATTAACAGAGACGTAACTTTTTTTAATAAAAGCTTATTCTGACCTCTGCGAGAGCGTTTAGCAGGTCTTTTAAATGAAGTGGACGGACGTCCATCATCTTGGCTCCTCTGGCTGCCGCTTTGCCTCTTCCTCTTCCTGTCAGCCTTACCTGTGGAAACAGAAACGGAAAACACAGAAGACAGAGGTGCTAAATATCCAGGAAGCTCCTGGCTCAGTGTCTGCGTTGGGTCTGGCAGCGGATCCTGATCGCCATCATCAGAACCGAGTCTCTCCTGACCAGCCGTCTGAGTGGAAGCGGCTCTGCTGGATCTGGAGCGGCCTGAGCAGGGATGGAAATTAGCACCCGCCACCAGCCAAATGCGGGTGATTTTGTGTTGTGGCGGGTAAACTCGCTTCACCTACCGGCCACCGTGGCGGGTAAATAAAAATAGCATACTGTTTCACCCGGACGGCGGACACTTTTAGAGGAGGCACACCTTCAAACAAAAATGTGGCGTTACATCGCAGGCGTAGAGGTCTGCAGAGAAAACATCATGGTGCGTTCACACCAGACGAGAATAGAGCGTCTGGCGTGAGTGATTTCATTGTTAAGTCAATGCAAAGACGCGTTACGCGCGTAAAAATTCCTGCGGCGCGAATGAGGTGTAGAGCGCGCCGTGGTAGATGCGAATACGCCTCATTCGCGCAGCAAGTTCGAGCGTCTGACGCGTTCCGCGCGCATGATTTTATTGAGTGCTTTTGTGCATTCACGCGTTTGACGCGAATTCGTGTCTGCCGCCCGAGTTGAAAAATCTGAACTTTGGCGTCAATTCGCGCCGCGTTAACCAATCAGGAGCCTAGCTGCTGTCACGTGGTGAAGTATCTGGATGCTTCAATAAATTATTTTGTAATGCCTGATGTGGTTCTAATGCACAACAAAGCAAATATGTTATCACATAAAACTTGATTTCAATATATGAGACATATTCATTTTGTATTGAATGCTATTTATTCCATTTCATATCTAGATTATATTAAATATTATTCTAATGTAAAGGCAACCAACATACTATAGCTCATAAATCCGTGTCTGGAGAGTGTTGTGTGAGAGAAAAAAAAAATCACAGGACAGGTTAATTACTTTTGGAGGCTGGCTCAATTTATCATCAAAACAAAAATAAATGACAGATTAGGTGGGTGAGGCCGAGGGTGAGAGAAAGGGAAAATGTCAGTATTTCATTGAGACTTGAGATTAAATAAACTGCTTAAGTATTCTTGTAGTATTCATTTTCACATGCAGTTACACATTGTCGGTTAAAAACAAGAAAGTGGCTGGTAAAAACATTGAGTGGCTGGTAGATTTTGAAATCCACCAGCCACAGTGGCCGGTGGACAAAAAAGTTAATTTCCATCCCTGGGCCTGAGGATGGAATATTTCAGACATCACAATGGTAATGTTTTAATAATAATCAATATTTAATGCCAGTGGTCAATTAATAATTGTTACTTGTTAACGTTACTCAAATAGAAAAGTCTATTTCATATGCAAGGCATCGAATACATGTGATCACTTAGCTGGGAACATTTAGGGATCAAATTAGTTATCTCGCACAAGTTTCTTCACATTAAGTTAGTCAATCATTGTACCGGGTACAACATCATACCAAAACATACCAATAAAAAATTAAAGACTCACCTCCTCTTTCACCAATGTGAGCCATCGATATCCTCCTCCAACCTGCAATAAAAACAATACAAAAAAGAGAATACAAATCTCCCCAGAAATACTCCTCCTCCAAAGAAAAAAAGAAAAAAAAAGAAAAAGAAAGTATAAAATTAAATAAAAAATGAAATAAAACTCGAAACTCCTTCTAAAATCAGAAAAGAACAATCAAATAAAAGTTTTGAATATTTTAAAATAAGATATGAACTCTTTCAAAAGTAAAACTCTGTGATGAAAATATTCTCCGATTTCTTTATAAAGTCTCTTCTCAGCAATCCTCCGAACAGCTTCAAAATACTCTGTAAAAGTCTCTTAATTCGCCTCGTCCGTCAACCATCAGATGGCGATCAGTGAAATTGTTGATATATGCAGTCAGAATTCAAAAAACGCGTCGCTATAGCAACTAAAAATCGAATCGCTCATTGGCACAACACGCACACGTGAAGTCGCGTGCGTGAGTACAGCAGAGCACGTGAGCGCACATCGAGCTTAATCTTTGACGTTTTCTTTAATACTTGTGAGATTTATTCAAATTCTGAACATATATTATTATTATTATTATTATTATTATTATTATTATTATTACAATCCGTGGAATTATTCGTGTAAAATCTTCGTCAAGCTAATTGCAAAAGCGTCCACTTCCCAAAGCTAATTTTCACTTACAGTCTATGCAGAGCCGATCCTGGCATCCCTGGGGCCCTAAGCAAAAATCTGTTAAGGGGCCCTCCTACCTGACCCATGAGCCATGTAAACCATTTGCCATTGCCACACAGTCACACCTGACACCCCAGTTCTCCCACTACAATCCTCCCTCGTTTAGTTAGTACTAATGAAAATGTAATTCCTGATATCAGAAATAGACATATTTTATATTAATATCAATAATTCACATTTTAAATAGTACAAATTTAATTATTGATATCAAAAATGCATCCTGTGAATTAATAAAAGCTAAAATGGCTTGCCATTGCATGTCACTGTGTTTTAAATGATAAAAGCAATAATTGATACTTAATGGTTATTATTTACTGATTGATGTGCATCCATATTGACCAGTATGTCCAGCCAATCAACATTTTAAATGCAATAGTCAATATCAATAGATTGCTTTCCATCTTGCTTTATTGCAGGGTTGTAACTATTCTGATTTGGAGACTTGATAATCATTGTCTTGTTTTAAAGTGAGCGCCTAATGAAGAGTGCCATAACGCCCATATTGTACTGGTAACTGGTCCCCATAGATTTTTTTTTTTTTCTGGAAAGTGCGCGTTTCATTTCGTGCACGCGCATATGAACTCATGTTAACGCGCGACGCGGTTATCTTTTCCGAGCTGCAGTTTATAAACAAAAACCGTTGCCCTTTGTATTATCAAACGTAATATCATGAAAGTGCGTATCTATAGCCTACCACGAATTTAATTTATCGTGCTATTTATACGCCAAAAATGTTTTTTTTGCGTGCATATGCTACGCACTGTAAATCTCTTGTCTTGGGTAGGATTAGGGGTGTGGAGTGCGTGCATATTACACGCCAAAAAGTGCGTATCATATGCACGCAAAAACTATTTTTGGCGTATAAATGGCACGAGAAATTAAATTCGTGGTATAAATACGCGCTTTCATGAGATCGGGCTGGAGACAGACAGATAGAGAGAGATGCACATCAACTTAACTTTACTGTTCTGTTCTGTGCTGACATCAAACTTGGAGAGGAGAGAACACAAGTTTACCTGATCGCTGTTCCCGCAATTCACTCACATGGTGTTTTTCTCTCAGTTTCTCTTTTCGTGACCAGAAGGATAGTTCCGCTTAATTATCTCATCGATGTTGTAAACTTTGATTGACGCGCTTTGACGCGAGGGGGAGGCGGGGCCTTGAGTAATTTGCGGGGCCCTACGCAGCTTGCGTAGTGTGCGTATAGGGAGGATCGGCTCTGAGTCTATGGAACCCAGTCATTGCTTCTGTCCAAAATGCGAGCAAAAAAGCTAAAGGGAGGATAAATTGGACGAGTGGCCACCCACTTATACACCTCATACGGATACTTGTTGTAAAGATGTCTCTCTCAACAGGGAAAAAGTGGATATTTTTCATGAAGTTGGTTTGACGTTCGATATTCGCGTATTTAGGGACCGTCTCTAAAGTTACATGCGACATTGGTATTAACGTCTCTAACTTTTGCATTTGAAGACAATGACTTACAGTCATAAAACCAACTGTAAATTGTTCATCTAGGTCTCAGGTATGATGCACATCTTTTATATTTTTTATATTTATGACAATAAACTGTTAAATCACGTGTAAATATTGCTATGTATTTCACTACTGTATGGGGTCATACACAAAATATGACATCATTTAAAGCTCAATAGCATTTGAAGACAATGACTTACAGTAATAAACCAACTGTAAAGTGTTCATAGGTGTCAAATATGATGCACACCTTTTAGATTTTTGATATATATGACAATAAAATGCCAAAAACAGGACAAAAAATTTCCTGTTTTTGTCTAATGTTAGGTTAGTATATAAGATCATTCATGACTTAGCACCACAATCTCTCAAGCAATATGTAACAATAAGCAGACCAGGCTCAAGGTTAACGAGAGCTTCATCTAGAGGGGACTGTTGTGTTAAGTTTCGGTCTACGACTTTTGGACAAAACTGCTTTTCAGTAAAGGCAGCAGGCATGTGGAATTCTTTACCACTGAGTGTTAGAGAATGCAGTACATTAAATATTTTTAAAGGTAGTGTGAAAATATGGTTGAAGGACAATCAGGTTTGTAGTCATTGAGTTATGAGACATTGAATGTGGTCAGTATGTTTTTACTGTGTGAATGGTACAGTTCTTGTAGTAGCAGTTTGTTTCTTTTTGTAATTGTATTTTTTATGTTGGTTATTATGGTTTTATTGTAATATTTTGCACGCTTTTGGCACCTGCCCAGGGACTGCAGATGGGAATTAGCTTTTAGCTAAATCTGGTACAGTACATCTATTGTACATTGTCCCTGTTAAATAAAAAAAAAATAAACTGTTAAATCATGTGTAAATATTGCTATGTATTTCACTGCTGTATGGGGTCATACACAAAATATGACATACTTTAAAGCTCAATAAAAAAAAATATGATACAAAATATCTTAATATATCAAACATGTTTATTTTTTTTTCTTCTTTTTTTTTTTCTGTCGGCTGCCAACCAAATAAACGCCTTTGACTCATTTTTGGTAATTGTAGGTAACTGGAAGAAAAATACCAATTACCAATCCACAATTATTTGCATTGGCAGCAATCCCAGTGAACCTTTTGAACTCTCTTGAACTCCTTTTCGTGACATAGAAAGGCATGCCACATGGAACCACCTCTTGCAGCAGTGACATTCGATCTGTTTAAAGATAATAATAACCTTATCAAATTGATCAGTAATCAATTAGTTTATCACTCAATTCCAATTCAATTTTCCAATGTTCTGTGACCTAATCTAAAGTGAGAACAATTTACTCCTAATTACCAATTAAAATTTCTTTACTACGAGCTGATTAAACAATAACAATTGTGTTAGTGTACAAACACTCCACAGCTGTGCCAGTCTCGTTGTTTGGAATGGTTCATTTGTCCTCCATTCCATTTTATGTCCACCCAGTCATTTTTACTGAGACAGATTCTTCTCATCTTGAAGTACTCTCTAGGCAGTGTAAATAAAGAAAATCATTAAGATTCTAAATGTAAACAATATTTGTGTTTGTTACTACTTTGTAGAGTCTAAATGTAGAGAAAGGTGACAAATCAGTTGCTGGTCTTCTACAGTGAGGGGTTTGTTTGATAGAGGGGTTTCACGACGCGTCATCAATCCGGAAGTCGGCCATTTTGGAGGCACAGAATGTAAATAATGCCACTGAACTGAATGGACTCGCAAATTTGGGTGATTATTGCTGCTAAAAAATGGTCGAGTTTTGGTCTGTACCAATCAGTCACATCGGGAAAAAACATGTTGAGTGCTATAGACTGTCAAAAGTTAAAGAGAAGAGTGCAAAAACTGATGAAAGAAGGCGTGTGTGGTTGAGAGAGGTACAGCATCAGCTACTGGCGCGCTGGACTACTGGAGGCTGGTATGTAGCCTACTGCTTTTTCCCCACGCTCGTCTGCGCCGGTTTCAGAAATAATAACGTTACTTTTCTGCTCGTCCGGCAATTTGCAACAACACAGCATTGTTTCGGCAGTGACTTTCAGCATGTTTCCTATAAATGACGTTTGCATTTTAAGACATACCACGCGAAATCCGATCGTTCAGACTGAGGCTGATGTCCTGATATGTGATTTGAATAGGATTTCAAACCACATATGGATGTAACTTGAAACGGATTTCATGTGCTTTTTTGGACTGACAATCTGAACGTATCCTATGTCGGGATAATAAATAGATGGAAGAATTGCAGTAATGTTACGTGCTAGAGAAGCTAACTCGTTCGGATCTTTACCACATATTAACTTTAGTTTGTCAAAATGTTGCGCTCTCTCCTGCTTCCCAAGTCCTTCTCTATATGATTTCGCACCTACCACGTGTTTTTTCCGTGGTTTATTAGTGTAACAATGTGTTCAGTAGTACATAAACAGTGCAATCCATGCTGTTGTTTACATCCGAGTGCCTCCATAATGGCCGCGCATCCGGGTTACCGCCCAGAACTTGACGTTGGTGAAACCCCTCTATTGTTTCCCGCCTTGTAGGGTATTTTCCCGATCACATCCCCACTATTCTACCCTATATTGTCTTGTCAATTCTCCATGATCCCTACCCCAATAAAACAAAAATAGGCCAAAAACCGAACAAAACAAAAATACAAATAAACAATAAAAATACATTCTTGTGGTTTATACTACTTTAAGTTTAATTGTTTTAACCATATTTACTACATTTTATTACAAAATCCAAACAATACATGTTGTGAATCTTTTTTATTAAAGAGACTCGTCATCAATTTAAATGAATGTGCTGCATTGTGCTCTCTCTGTTTCCTTTACAGGCCATATCATTTGTTTATTAGTAAGGCAACAATATGCATTTTGCTTTAGTGCATTAAACACAAAATATGAGGAAAAAAGTGTTAAGCGAGTCAAAATTATTGACAGGATAACACTAAGCATTAAAACATTATGGCCTACTAAATTCCTATATATTTATATGGTAATTATAATAAATAATAATAATTCATTACATTTATATAGCGCTTTTCTAGGCATTCAAAGCGCTTCACATAGAAGGGGGAATCTCCTCAACCACCACCAATGTGCAGCATCCACTTGGATGATGCGATGGCAGCCATAGTGCGCCAGTACGCTCACCACACACCAGCTTACTGGTGGAGAGGAGACAGATTATTTATAATATAATAGATAATTATAGACAGATAATTATTGTCTTTCTTATCTCACTTTACACTTAATGATTGTGAGATGCTTGCTATATACATTTAAAGTTAATAGGTACATTTATTGTAAGTAAAAAAATAATAATAAAGTGTTTATAAAAACCTTATGAGAAGGCTAGTATACTTAAGCCCCTTTCACACAGCGCTTTGAACCCGGCAAACTGCCGGCAAATTGCCAAAGTGCCTTCTGTGTGAACGCAAACACGACCCGGGATTGATGCCGGGATCGATGCCGGGTTGGGGACCTAGTAGTCTCGCGTAGCCAGACCTTCAGACTGACGGCTGAAGGTCTGGAACTCATAGCAGCTTTCTTTGGCCAAGGCC